TATATATATTTTTTTTTTTTTTCTATAAACAAAAACTAATTTATATGAAGTTAAAAAATATATTTTGAAAAAAACTATTATTATAGAATTATTTTATTATTTCATTTTTTTTATCTGCTATATGTGCTTTTAGAGAACTTTATAAAAACATACTTTATCAATGAAAACTAGTTCAAATGACTAAACTATACCAAATTAATTTCTCTCTAATACTAAGTTTGATTCTAATATAGAACTGCAATAAAATCATCAACAGTTATGACATGCATAAAACTAAGTATCAATTGAAATGGAGAGAATTCCAAAAATAAAAAATAAAAAAATTAAAGTAATATATATATATATATATACACTGAAATTCTATTAAAAATTGGCGTTATATCCTAGTTCTAGAAAAATGTCATTTTTAAAGTTATAAGTGGTGTTGGATGAATTTTGAACTATTTTTTCATAAGACAAAAAGCTAATTTGAGCCAATTTCAAATGAAATATATGTTTTCTGAAAAAATCTCATTCAAAATTTTACTGATATAATTTTGATTTTTCATTAAAAATTAAAAAGTCCATCCTTAGTCTTGTCTGACAAAATTTCAAAATGAATTTGGGACAGATTCTAAATGAACATGTAGATCAAGATTTGTGACATTAATTTACTTTCGAAAAAATCTTATACGAATATGATATTGATTTTCCAAACAAATTTTAAAATATGGTTTTGGACTGATTTCCCACTAAATCATGTTAGGCACTTTAAGTTTTCATTAACTACTTATCACTTGGACCTTGGAAGTTTTGGTTTTCAATTTCTAATTTTCATTAACAGATCTTGAAGTAATCAGTTACAATATTGATCTTTAGTAATAAAATCCAACCAATCATCGCACAATATCTAAACAAACTTTCAATTTTAGAATTTAAAATAAAAAACTTAAAATTAAATAACAAACATAAACATTAGGATAAAAAAAATACCAACGTAACTATCTTTTTTCTGTTGTGTTCTTGTAAAACACGATGATTATCTCAATTTATCTCATGACAAGAGGATTCACCCTATGATTTCATTCTTTGCACTTCAACAATTTATGTCAATGGACACTAAAAGTCAATGACAACAAAGGATTTTTACAATTAATAAAATTAAATTAAATAAATGTCATCGTGTAAAATGAAAAAAAGGATAAAAAATAACATTTAAAAATAGAAAAGGATAAAACTACTAACATTTAAAAAATAGAAAAAAGATAAAATTTGATACTTCCCTCTATTTTTTCATAAAATTCGAAAAGCACAAAAAATAAACTTTTAAAAGGAATTATAAAATCTCAATTTTTCCCTCAAAGTTTGAGGCAGAAGAATTTTTCATCTCCCACAGTGCAGTAAATTATTTCCCTTCTACATTCTATTTTCTTTGACATGTATAATTCTCATCTAATTTTATAGGCATTCATATTGTTTAACTCTTCTTGCCAATTTTTTTCCAGGATGGTATATTAATTCATGTGATAGATATTGCTTTTTTTTTCCTCGCCTTTTTTTTTGTTTCGTACGCAAAAATTGTGAAATAGGTGACATGTATTATATTTTTATCATTTAAACATATTTAAATCATTTGTAGGACAAACATTGAGGCCAATGAATGTCAACCAATTGAAATTAATGAGCCCCAAAATATTTTTCTTGGTCAAGTTGTTAACAGAAAATACGAATCTTATAATTTATACCAAGAACAAGCCTTCAAAATGGGTTTTAGTGCAAGAAAGGGAAAAGAGTTGTACTGTGATAAAATAAAAAGAACACACGTTTGAAAGAATTTTATTGCATAGAAAGTGCATTTTATCATAATCTAATCCATTGCACTTTCTCATCTAAACTGTGCAGCAATATTTTAGAGAAATTAAATCTAAGACAACTCATGGTAGCTCACTAGAACACAGTAGCATGATTTTGTTGTACCAATGTCAACACTCAAGAGTCAAGAGCCTCAAAGACAACATGCCATCTACTGCTCCCTGGTGAAAAGCAAGCATGTGTGTTAAAGTGTCGACTGATTTGCTTGTGTAAAGGTTGGTGTTTCTAATGCTCTTCATATTTCAAATATTGTCCCAATCTCCCGTAACGTCAAATGTTATGAGTAAGTTTTGCAATTGCAAATATATGACATGCGCCCTCGATGCATTAGGCCCCCACTTGCGTACATTACCATAAGTATTGTTGATATTCTTCTAATAGAATTGAAATTTTATTTTGACAATACACGGTGACATTTAATGAAATCTTAAATTATGCATACTAAGGTGAAACTCTTATTTTGATTGTACAACACCACCAACAATACATATGACACGGGATCTAAAATTTTATCCACAATAAAATCTATGACCTTCAGGTCACAAGGCAGATGCAGCTAATGCTCTATAACATTTACATCCCTCTTAACCAGTAGACAACCAACAGAATAACAATAAGGAACGAGTTTGAAACTGGGAAAGCAAATTCATATGGATCATCAACAAAAATAAAAAAAAGTTTCTACAATTTGTTGCTTGCTTTTCTAACTGTCAAAAAACATACCCAGAAATGGATATATGATTATGCATGTGTTTGAATACTAGTTCTCACACATTTCAATGCACCTAAATGGAAAAGGTTCTCTCATGTTAGATTGAAATCATTGGCCGTTAGTGTGTTGAAACAGAAATCCAAACACACTATATTGGTCTAACCAGCCACTGCCAATTCCATATCATTTCTGCATATTTGTCAAATAAACTTCAATTGTCATGGAATTTCTGCATTAAAATTAACTTGAACCAGACCTTAGGGGGGGACCGGTGATCATGCTCATACTACTTTAGAGCAAGAAAAAGGAATGCTTCAACTCCCATGCTACTTTTCACAATTACAATGACTTCAAGGCTTCCCCTTCAATAAAACAGAAAGTATGAATTCCATGTAGGTGATGTATATTGTGTTCAATAATGTTAGAAACCACAAACAGAATTAAGGAAAAATAGTAGTGAACAACAATCACTACTAAGAAAATCAGTGTATTATGAAGCATAAAAGGAGAATATAGCGGAATAGTAATTCCCACTGTCCAGAGCAATGCTCCTTCAGAGGCACAAATGCTCTCTGCCCATAATCAACTTCAACCTTTCCAATCCCCTATCTCTTCCCTTCTGAACCTTATAACAGAATTCCCTTCACAACTGAAAACCTACTACTCTCTCTCCCGCTTGACCCGGAACTCTGTTGTCTTCTCCTTTAAGTTCAACCCATTTATCAGGAAACTGAAATTGCATGCTTTGTTTCTTCCAATCAACCCACATGCTGCCAAGAGAGGCTAGCCACGAAATTCCAAGTACCAGATCTATCCCTTCTAGTTCGAAAGGGAATGTATCCACAGGAAGTGTGATAGCTCCCAACTCCAACCCTCAGCCTTTACAAGTGCCTTGGGCTATGGCCTTGTAGCCATCACCCATATTTATCCGCTTTGGACGAGTCTCTTCTACTGAGAACCCCAAAGCCGCTACCAACTTTGAAGATATAAAATTGTGTGTGGCGCTACTGTCAACTAATATGTGAATTGGTACTCCTTTCACAAACCCCTTCAATTTCATGGTCTGTGGTTTCCAACTCAAATCTAGAATCAAGCTCCCCAAGTGTATCACACTACATTAGCTTCTCCCCAAGTGGCGCCACCATCCAATTCTGTTTCTTCCTCCCCTTCTGTTGTCAATACATTAGCTTCTCCTTCCTCTTCATCACTGTATTATGAAGCATAAAAGGAGAATACAGAGGAATAGTAATTCCCACTGTCCAGAGCAACCCTCCTTCAGAGACACAAACGCTCTCTACCCATAACCAACTTCAACCTTTCCAATCCTCTCTCCCCCTTCCCTTTCGGACACTATTATAGAATTCCCTTCACAACCCAAAGCCTACTACTCTCTCTACCACCTCAACACTCACTCCTTTTCTTGTTTCTTCTGGAATAAACCCTCCAAATTATGGGCCTCAAAATTGGGCCCGAGTCCACATTTGGTGTGCTGACAAATAATAAAGGTTAGGTTAATATAACCAATGAAGCAATTTAGCTCTTACAATAGCAATCCCAACCCACAATAGTGTTTACCCAATTGCATTTCCTCCCTGTTAAGTAATCCCAATTCCATGTAAAATATACTTACAAAAACATTAGTATGAAGTTCATGAAAGATGGTAGAGTACACCTCCTGGCTCCTGCAAACAATGATTGGAAATTAGAAACATGGATGGGTTGCATTTCCAAGCATCCAAAACATACAAGATCCCTTTGCTCAAATTGAAAGTCACAAGATAGAATCTCATTTCCAAGCATCCATCATGGTTGTGCTTCATGTGATATGTAGAACCAGACACAGACATGGTCCACAACTAGACCTAATAACAGATAACGAACATACATCTGAATAAGTAAAATCATCACAGCAATACAAAATTAATGCTTACAACAGAATGAGGCAAATTAAGTAAACACTATAGAATGTCCAACCTTTAGATAACAAACCGTATGTCTTAGAATTTATCATCTGGCACAAATCCCCTTTGCAGCATTTCATCATGGAAGCGGAATGCTTCTTTCAGGTTGTCTAGAGAGACATGCCCGTTTATCATTGCCGTGTATGTTGCTCTATCAGGATTGATTCCACTGTCAATCATCTTGCGTAACACCATCTCAGCCTCATGCATTCTCCCTTGCCTACAATATCCACCAAGAATTGCATTATATGTGACAACATCAGGCACTAGCCCTCGTTCTTCCATGCTATTAACCAAGACAAAAGCCCTGTCAAAATTCTCTTCCTTCACAAACCCATTAATAAGTGTATTATACGAAATGCAATCAGGAGAAACTCCTTCCATAATCATCTTGTTCAAGAACTCGCTTGCCTTCGACACATTGCCAGCACGCAAAAAGCCCTTTATAACAGTGTTGCATGTAACCAGAGTAGGCCTAACACCTTTTTCCATCATATCATCCCACACCCTGAATGCCTCCCCCATAAGACCTAAACTGCAAAACCCATTTATCAAAATGCTAAACGATACATAGTTGGGCAATATTCCCCTGCTTACCATATCACCCCACAACTCCTTAGCTCTCTCCATTTCACCAATCTTGCAAAAACCATCCATCAAAGTATTATAAGTCACAACATCAGGCTTCAGGCTCCTTTGTGTCATGCTCTCAAACAAACCAAGAGCCCTATTCATGTTCCCATCCTTACAATATCCACGAATAAGCGTTGTAAGAGTGTAGTAATCAGGAAAAACTCCCCTTTCCACCATCTCCCTGAACAACTCATCAGCATCACCAAGCATCTTCCCCTTGCACAATCCATTCAACAAAGTGTTATAAGTAACCACGTCCATCACACAACCCCGCGCAACCATCTCGTTGCGCACATTCAACGCCTCAGCCACATTGCCATTCCTGCAATACCCATCAATGAGAATAGTATAAATCACAGTATCAGCAACCAACCCAGCACCCTTCAACTTCCTAAAATACTCCAACGCCCTATCAAAGCACCCATTCCTGGAGAACACCCCAATCACAGAACCAAAACTAATCAAATCAGGAACAACACCATAACCCAACATTTCATCAAAAACCCTCTCAGCTTCACGAACATCATCCTTCCTACAACTCTCCACCAACAAGGGATTAAACGTGGCAGCATCAGGACTCAACCCCACCCCCAACATCTCATCCAAGACACCCCTCGCTCTCTCGTACATCCCCTTCTTACACAACCCATTGATAATTGCATTGTAAGTATAAACCCCAGGCTTCAACCCTAGACCCCGCATCGAGTTCAGCAACTCGAATGCCTCTGACTCGTTCCCCATAAGAGAATGCGCGTTGATGAGCGTGTTGTAGGTGACGACATCGGGGAAAACCCCTTTAGCTTCCATTTGGGAGAAAAAAGCCTTAACTTTGTGGAACTTACCGTCTTTGCACAATGCATTGACCATGATGTTGAGAGTGAACACGTTAACCCTTGCGCCGCTTGAGACGACGTCGTCGAAGACCGCCCACGCCAGGTCAACCCAGCTCGCTTTGACGAGCGCCGCGAGAAGCGCGTTAGAGGCGTTGATGGAGATGGGGAAGCCGCGCTGCCTTAGCAGGCGGAAGGCTTCGGAACCTTCTCGAAGCTTCCGGGCCTGGACGTAGGTTCTTATGAGCAAGTCGCAGACGGTGGCGGTGGCGGTGGCGGCGTCGGAGGGGGATGCAGGGAGGAGGGAATCGATTATTTGGGGGCGGGAGACGCCGCGCTTGCGGATGGTTCGAAGGAGGAGGGCCTGCGCTTCTGGAAGGTTCCGGGCACAGATGAGATCGTGAAGGGTGGGATTGGGATGTGCGTGAGTGGAGTTGGCATGACATGGATTGAGGAAGGAAGAGAAAGGTCTCAGAGTTTGTGTTTTGAGAAGGTTTTGTGTCTGCAGTGCCTTGGCCATTGTTGCACACAGAAGAACCACTACCTGGTGAGACCACTAATTTATGATGATGATTTCAATAATTTTTTCATAATACTAATAAGAAAATTAAATTTAATTGTTTTTTTCCATAAATTAAACATAATCTTTTTGGAACTAAATGATAAATATTTTACAAATTAATTTAAATATAAACTAATTTTATTTTATTAAAGAGATATTTTTTCATTTTCTTTATATAAAAAATTTATACAATCTTTTTATTTTACTTTGAAATATCATTTATTTGAACAATGTCCTTTTAAACTGAATAATCTCTAGTTTGTGTCTTCTTGATGTAAAACTTGACAAATTTTTATGAATTGTGAGAATTTTCTATTACATCATCTTTTAGAATAATTATTGTAACTAGTTTCAAAGTGTTCTAAAATTCTATTTAGAATAAACTTGAATATAAGTTTTTCACTTTTTCTTCCTTCTCGTGTTATTGTATCTACTAAATACAAGATATCTTGAATAAATGTAAAGTTAAAATTGTAGTTTGTATAATTGTTCATATAAACAAATTTTTCTTCAACCTTTGATATACTTTCAAATTACTTTTAGCATTTATGTTATCTTTCAAAGCCAATTTTTTTCTTTCCAACTCTTGATCACGAAGAGAAACACTACTCTCTACATTAAGATTTCTTTCATGACCTATGTAAACTATCATATTATTATAATTCCAAGCATTATCATAATGATTGGTTATGATTTTAGGGTTTAGGGTTTAAGATTTATCATATTACTATAATTCCAATTATAAATCCTAAACCCTAAAATCACAACTAATCGTTATAATGATACTTGGCATTCTAGTAATATAGTGATTTACATAGGTCATGAGAGAAACCTTAATGTGAAGAGTGTTATTTCTCTTCATGGTCAAGAATTGGAAAGAGAAAATTTGACTTTGAAAGATAACATAGATACTAAAAACACTTTGAAGGTATATTAAAGGTTGAAGAAAAATTTGATGGTATGGACAATTATACAAACTACAATTTTAACTTATCATTTGTTTAAGATATCTTGTATTTAGTAGATATAATGACACAAAAAGAAAAAGAAAAAAAGCAAAAAATTTGTGTTCAAATTTACATTGAATATAATTTTTGAATAATTACAAACTAATTGCACTAGTTTCTCTTAAGGATGATGTTATGGATAATGCTTACAATTTAATGATATTTGCAAGTTTTACTCCAAAAAAAAATACAAATCTAGAAGTTATTTAGTTCAAAAGGGCATTATTGAAATAAATGATATTTCAAAATAAAAAAGAAAAAAATAGTATGATTTTTTTATTTATTATATAAATTTCTATGAATATATTTTTTTAACACTTTTAGAAGATAAAATAAAAAAAAATGAAATAATTTATTTATAAAATAAAATTAGTTTGCATTTAAATTAATTTGTAAAATATTTCTCATTCAGTTTTTCAAAAAATTATTAAAAAAATTATTTTATTTTTTTTATTAACATTATGAAAATTTTACTCAAATACTCATAATCATAAATTATTGGACATAAAAAGACTATTAATTTCAAATATTATTTTAAAATTTATATTAACATTAATTTTATTATGTTGATATCATAAGATATAATATATTAACATATCCGACCAATTCATTTTTATTTAATAATAAATCCTTTTAAAAATATCAAACTTAATTTAAAAAATATATATAATAATATACATAAAAGAACTGAAAAATATTTTGAATATTTTCATTGAAATTAATTTTTAAAAACACTCATTCATGATGATTATTATAATTTATAAGTTATATATGTAATAAATAGTATTTAGATTATCACCTTTATTGATTAACTTAATTATGATATATTATTAGTTTTATAATAAAATAAAATATTGTTAAATTAATAATAAGAATTAAGAAATAAAATATAGAAAGTGAATGGTTAACTATAGTCTTGTAAAAAAAATTGAAAGAAATGAGATTTAAAGTTAACAAAACAAAAAATAGAGAGGATAAAGAAAGAAGAAGAAGGTGGTAATGGTAAGTAGAGGAGCTTTGTTAGAAGTCTTTTTTTGTGGGAATGTTTTCAAGTAAAAATAAATTAGGAGAGTAAAGATTATCCAATGATGTGAGTGGTGGAATTGTCCTTAAACCTCTAAGGGTTATAATATATAAGTGATTTTAGGGGTTGTTAACACTCATAAGCGAATGTTGATAAACATGGTTGTGTAATTGTTGCTTAAACTCATTGCTAAATTTTGTTGATTTATGCTTATTAAATGTGTTTGTCTCTTTAGGGATAGGGTTCATATGCGTTGATTTGGAGATTGTGTATTTGGGTTTTTCAATACAAAATGTGCTTATATATGCATTCCATACTTACTTTATAAGTTATTGAGGGCACACTACCTGTTAAGAAAGTAATAAAAATGTACTTTTTAATCAAGATTTAAGAAGGACATGTTCAATACCATGAGATTTGCAACATGGAAAAAAAAAAATTATTTTACCTTATCCAAGTGATTAATTAGTAAAAGATATCTAATGCCCCAAAAATATATTTTATATATCTCATATGGATTAGAAGTGAAAGAAACCACTTTAGTCACGTCACTATTTTGAACTTGTCCTATAAATATCAAATATACATTGTACATATAGAGACTATTGTGACTTAACAATCTTATGGAGTGTTTTCCTCCCAAGTTCTCTAACTAACTTCAATATCCTATAATATTTCCAAGTGTTAAAGATTAATATTTGAGCTTTGAACCCGTCTTATGACATGATTGAAGTGAGTGAGATCTATTGGAATGACCTAGCTTTGTCCTTACATTGTATGACACAATTACTAGCAGCAAAAAAATCTCACTCAAGACTATAGACATACAAATACTAGAGCATGTATTATATTATGAACATATAGAAGAAATCAATTGAATAAATAGATGCAATATAAATATAGTAATCCAAAAATTTTAAATTATACATCATAAGTTATCGGTCAAACAACTATAATTGTGTATACAAATCTACCACCACAGGTAGTCAACAAAATGTCCTCCAGCTCATGCACCTCTAAGTGGCCTTCTTAACAACACTTCAACCCTATCTTTATCCTTCTTCCATATCACGTATGATCATCATGAATCATACCCGTGGAAACATGCAATGATAAGCTAAAGTAAAAAGAAATAACATAAATATAGGACATCACATCATCAAATCATATTTTGCAACATAATAATAAAGCATCACAATACATCTCATATAACATCACAACAACAATTTTAACTCAACACAACAAAAAATTTATCACAGTTCAACACAACATATGAATAACACAATCAACTCAACACACCATATGCTTAACACAACAACTACATGTATCGTCACACATTTCAACTGAAAAATATATTGCAGCACAAGATGAACAGTTTAAGTGGTTTGATTCTATTGAAGTAACAACATAGAGTGATCTTTTTAGACTTGCTAGATCAATAATAAATTGAATATAAATCCATAATACAACAACTTAGTTTCTCGTATGTCACTGATTAAACAAGGAAGTGCAGTACTAATGTCAGAGTATAACAGTTAGGTATGGGCCTACCATGACATTATTTAGCTTAACCAAAACTCTTATGGGATTAGTCTACTCACTACTCCCAAAATACTACAATCTTTCGATACTCGGTTAGGAACTAAGTTATCAACTTCGTACTTTACTTAATTGGTCATTTGTAATCAGTATAACTCGACCTGACCCCTATATTGTGGTCACTTCATACATGTGTGTCTCGACCTTATCTACACACGATACCAACAAAGTCCTACAGGAGAAACAACACAACATTAACTTAAATGGTCAATTTTCCAAGAAGGGTTTTCAACAAATTTGGGTTATCGAATCACTTCAACATAATATCCACACAATGAGACATGCAACTTTTGAAAAATATATCCTTTAGTTTTAAGTGGTCAACACAACTCGATAACACGACAACAAAAATCAACACATGCAACATCAAATAGCAAGTATATACATCACAATCAACTCAATAATATACTCAAATCCAACATGCAAACAAGATTTTGCAAATAATCAATGATTTTGGCCAACAACTCAAAAACCTTATTTCTAAATTTCTCCTTACTTCGAATTTATCAACACAACCACACACCAATTAGATTTGACACTACACACAACTCATAATTTCCCTACCCATCCTTAATACATCCAACTCAAATTTTTTTTAACTTCCCTCACCTCAGGTAGCTTGGATGTGAGGTAGAAGATAAAGGAAGATTGGGGCTCTACATGAAATCAACTGCTTGATTCAAGGTTCCCATCACCTGAACCACAACAACACAACTTAAAAAGGATTGAAAGAAAAATAAAAGAAGATTAAGAGAAAAAAAGCTCACAAACTAAATACATTCTCTCTAAAATCCTCTTTATAGAAAGTCGAGGGAAATGAGTTTATGAGGCTATGTTCAAAACAAAAACTTTATATAGTTTTTCCTCCAAGGTCAAATTAGATCTCTGCTTAAAGAACCCCCTCTTGACACCATTGAAGCTCTAAAGGAATCTTCAGAATTTCAAACCTCTCAACATTGACAACTCAACTTAACAATATAAAATAATTAAGGTTAATATAATATTATTACAACCTATAGTGTTACATCTATTCTCAACCACTTTTTTTTTTAGTTTTTGGCTGTAGTCTAAAAAGGTTTTGCTTGAAAAAATATTTGGGTGATTACTAGAAGAGGAAAGATAAATACTACTTGTTAAATTAAAAATGTTTGTCGATAGAGGTAATCATATCATGCAGGGAAACTAAATATTTGATTAAACTAAGACAAAAAATATACTTTTGGTTTTGGTTTTGGTTTTTTTTTTAGTTTCATTTTGGTCTAATCAATTTAAAAAAATTTCACTTTAGTTTCTTAATGTTGAGTGTTGGAGTTCTCCACACACATGTCTTTTGATCACTTTGGACATAAGCCCTCATAATTTTATTT